TGAGAAATTACAACTTTTATTCAAAAGTAGCCATTTGCTTTGAATCCGAGGTACATAACTTACCAAGACTCAGAGCACTACAAACTTACTAGAAGTAGAAGAGATAATTATTCATGACAAGAAATAAAAGCATTAGATCTAGAGGTGTCAAAATGGGTGATTTGGTCGGATTTGGGTTGGGTAAAATGGGTAATGGGTAATGGGTATAAGTGAGTCAACCCATTTATACCCATCTAATTAGATGGGTATAAATGGGTAAGTCAAAAAATGAATTGGGTAACCCAATTACCCATTTATAACTCATTTATTTTAAATTTTTGTAAATTCATTTAAATTCATTTTTGCAAACTAAGTTATTAATTTATACCATCCTTTGCACCCATCATTAGTTTTAAATATTTACTTATAATGCTCAATAAGCCTAATTATCAATTTTTCCCATCCGTACTCTATGTCGCAAAATTACATACTATTTAATAATTAAACAATAAGAATATATAAATTTGAACTAAGTACTATAAAAGTTAACATAAAAACTTAATCCAAAAATTTTGAATCTCTAGCATTTTTTCGTGTGTAAATTTAAAATTTCATTTTGGAAAAGTAAGAAAAGAGACTAAAACTTGTCATAAATTGGTAATGTTGAAAAATGAACAAGTTAACAAACTAATAGAAAATAAAATGATAAGATAAAACCAACAAATAATAATAATAATGAAACAAAAGTAGTTAACATCATGATAAAATGAAAAATTTGAAAAAAAAATGGGTGGGGGGAGAGAGGAGGTTTAGGGGAAGACAATTTTAAATGGGTTAATTAGGTTTGATGGGTTACCCAATAATACCCATTTAATAAATGGGTATTATTGGATAACCCATTTATACCCATATGCAAAAATTTAAGATACCCATACCCATCTATTCATGGACGGGTATGGATAAATTTATTTAAATGGGTTTGTTTGACAGCTATAATTAGATCATATCATCATCCTGGTTACATATCTTGGCAATACAATAGTCGATACCATATTACTTGCCAAGTCCACACCTATTACTCAAGAAACTTGACAGACTAGTGCGGCCTTGTCCTCTAAGTACATTTTTAGTTTCCTTCTGCTATACTTGTTTCGTCCTTCTACTGCAAAAATTTGGTGAAAATTCAATTGATGAAAAGAAATTAGCAAGAATTGGAATATGTGTTAGGGAAGATAGTCCGGGAGGAAGTTGAAATTATCATGATTTATATTATGGAAATGACAGGAATTGAAATATCAGCAAGTGACTAAATCTAATCATATTAAGACGGGGTATGAAATAGATTTCAAAATAGATCCAAACAGAGTTACAGAGGTTACCAAATAACACTTGTATAAATTAAAACAGGAACATCAAGTAGGATGACGAAAATTCAATAATTGTGGGATTAATTAATTTGAAAAATCCTGAAAATTTTCCATTTTTTAGAGAATTCACAAAAGAGAAGAAGAAAGTTTTAAATAGACATGATGACTTTTATCACAAGGTCGTCTTTGGAACAAATGTTTGGTTTAAACTCAAGGAACAATTTCTGAGGAACGTATGCTTTCAATTTAGGTAGAATCACCTTTGTCTGGTGCAGAGTTGTTTCGGTATATGCGAAGTCGTCAAGTCCAGAAAGTCCACCAGTATTTTCATACGTTTGGGAATCTGCTGAAGAATTGATCACCCCAGATGAAAAAACCTCCTGGAAGACACGAGAATATGTGGAAAATATGAGTTCTTGCTGTAACTAGAAGACATTATTTACTAGTAAATCAGTGAAGGATTTTGATTCTGATTTTAAGCTTTTTCTCCTCATAATTGATAATGCATCAATAGACCATATTAGCGACGTAGCTAGATGGATATATACTTGGCTGTTTAAGAAAAGTCTTAAAATGCTGGAAAGAAATAACGTTAATCTTTGAATTTTCTTTCCTGAGGCAACAAACGTTTTATTATATATATATATATATATATATATATATATATATATATATATGAAGCAATAAAAAAAATAAATAAGTTAAGCTAATATTGGGGCTCACATTATCTCCTCCTTTTTTGTCCTGCTGCTCTTCATTATCTGTCTCTTCTTCTGCTTCGTCTTTTCCCTGCTGATATTTTAATTAGTAGTGAACAAAATGGGGTAATTGAGAAAGACTATCAAAATTGTCATGGTGACCTGCAACCTGTACGTTCACTTGAGAACTATTCGTGAAATCTTGCAGCTAGATTGACTATGCAAATCCTTAACAATTTGCAAATTTTAGTCTAAATTAAAGTTGTTAATGAACACAAGTCTCCAAGTTTATTGGAGATTTAGCTTTATAGTTCAGTTAGGAGGTAAAAAATCTAAAACAACTAAATAATTCATAAGATAGAATAAAACCCATGTTCACAATGTGCTTTCATAGGGTAAATACCTATGAAAAAAAGGAGAAAGGGTGTGGTCTATGAGAAGCCACAATGACTAAGGATAAATGAATACATTTTTATGTTTGCTTACAAGAAAATTGTCAAGAACTTCAGTCACTTAGGAGTATGGGGGGCCAAAACATCAATGACGATACATAGACATGTAGGAATATGGGTGCACAAAAGCAAATAGTGGAAAACCTTTGACTATGTACAAAATGACTCTATGAAAAGTCATTTTCTTCAATTCTTGTGCACAAATATTGCTTTTTGTGTGAAAATGTATTACTTAGTTGAGATTGTACACAACTTCCCACAAATATTGCTTTTGGCATAGTAGCACAGATTTTCTTTACAACCATGTTATTCATTTGTTATTTTCTTTACTACTGAGATTCATCCCAGTTTTTTTTTTTTTTTTTAAATCATAGAATTTTCTTTTTTCAATTAGGAGGTAGGATAGTAGCTAGCATGTTCGAAAAATAAAGCAATTTAATAAAGCACAAGGTAGAAGTTCACAACTAAAGCAGCAAAGAGCACAAAATGAAGAGTTGTTAATAAGAAAGTTTTTTTTTTTTTTGAGAAAATTCTGTATAAGGGAAGTAATATCAGTCCCAAATTTTATTAATTTTGAAAATGTTGGAGGGGAACATTAAGCCTGAGCATCCAAATAGATACATCATCAAGGAATGCTAATATGAAAGTAAGTAACCCAGTGTAAAGAAACCGACAACAGATTGAAAAGATAGAAATTAACGAAGAAAAGGTGTGTATAACAATGCAATTCTAATGAATCAACAATTGCAGTAAAGAATAAATTATTAGTACTGTGCATTGATATATTAAATACCTTGTCGAAGAAAAACGTAAATTGCAGAATTGGATTGACTTCTGCGTCGTGAATCTGTTATGAATTGAGAATGATTTTCTTTTTTTGTACAAAATTATGCATGTAAAATCATAGACTTGTCTGTAAACTGTTTTTCCATGAAAAGTAAACTCAATTAGGTATAGATGACACTAAATTCCTGGTTATATCTAATTGCATTTTAATTGATTGTTAGACGGGTCATAGATAATTCCACATAATTCTTCCTCTTAGAAACTGAGGTGGCTGATTAACAAGCACTTTCTTACAGAGCTTTAGAACAAGTGTCTAATTACGTTGTTTAGGAGCAAACTTGCATATATTACATAATACTCGTTGGGTATGGTTTTTGATTTTTCTAGAAGACAAGTTATTATTTGTCTTTGTTGAGCCAAGAATTTTAAGATCATCTGGTTAATGTCTCTGCTAGTTAAACTGGATCACATCCTGTTTCGTTGTGTGTACTAAAAGTGGTTTTAAGACAATCTGACATCACTATTCGCACAATCTGCAAAGGAGCATGCGTGTTCGATCCAGTGGCATTCGTTCTGGAGAATATTAAAAGGCCAACTTGCATTCTTACAGACCATTATTATTTATATTCCAAAACCAACTAATATATATATATATATATATATATATATATATATATATATATATATATATATATATATATATATATATATATATATATAAATCTGTGTGTGTGTGTGTGTGTGTGGGAGGAGGGCAGGAATGGTTGCAGGAAGCAACTGTTTCTAAAGATTTATGACCAAGATTTGGTCAAAAAATAAATAAATATAAGGTACAGGTTTCATCTTGTACATCGTTTTTCGCATCATGTGTGAGATTCACAAAATTTTATTCTTTAATTACACATTGTTGAAAGTGAATTACACTATGTGCGTACAAAGTTACATCTTTTATATTTTATACAAAATCGTTTCGAACGGTTTTCTGATAACTGTTTGGACCCCTTGTCTGTCTGTGTGTACAAAACCAAATAAGCGCACGTAGTTAAATTTGGGGCCACAAGTGCCAATTCCAACTGTCGGCAAAGACTGCTATATTAGGAAATAGATATTTAAGAAAAAGATTAGGCCAGGGCTACAATGATCATCTCAAGTTTCAACTTTCAAGGGCATCCTGCCGGTGGAAGATTCTTCTTTGCAGAAATTTAAGGTCTCGTTTGAATTGAGGTTTTTGGAAGAAGGATTTTTACTTTTTTCGTAATTATATTTTTCAAATACCGTTTTACATTTCATATATGTCAAATCATTATAATATATTTTTATATATAAAATTTAAAAAATGGTAATCCATATGTTTGTTGAAGCCAGTTTAAGGCTAGTGAATTTATCAACTCATAGTATGAGAAAAACTGAAAAGATTTCTTTAAGGTTAACAACACTTTTCCCCGTGAACTTCAGGTAGTCACGTTTACCCCATCCCCCGCCACTCAATCTTAAATGTATACACTTCATCCCCTACAAAAACTAATTAAGGATAGGAATACCTAAAAAAATATGAGTGCAATAATAATATTGTCCTTTTATTCATGAAATTATCTATAACTTGGTATTATTTCCTTTAACTTATCAAGTTAATGGTGATTCTCCACAAAGACTAATTCATAAATTTTAACACTTGCAAAATGAAAATGGCGATTCTCCACAAAAAATGGCCCCCAAAAATATCAAGGAAAGTTACTAATGCCAATTTTAAGAAATTACAACTCTTATTCGAAAGCAGTCATTTGCTTTGAATCCGAGGTTCATGCATAACTTATCAAGACTCAGAAGCTCTACAAACTTACTAGAAGTAGTAGAGATAATTATTCGTGACAAGAAATAAAAGCACTACATCATATCATCATCATCCTGGTTACATATCTTGGCAGTACAATAGTCGATACCATATTACTTCCCAAGTCCACACCCATTACTCAGGTAACTTAGCAGACTAATGCGGCATCGTCCTCTAAGTACATTTTTGGTTTCCTTCTGCTGCACTTGTTTCGTCCTTCTACTGCAAAAATTGTGGTGAAAATTCAATCAGCGAAAGGAAATTAGCAAGAACTAGAAGATCTATCAGGGAAGATAGTCCAGGAGGAAGTTGAAATTATCATGATTCATATTATGGAAATGACAGGAATTGAAATATCAATAAGTGACCAAATCTAATCATATTAAGACAGGGCTTGAACTAGATTTTAAAATAGATCAAAAGAGATAAATTAACACAAGAATATCAAGTAGGATGACGAAAATTTAATAATTGTGGGATTAATTAGTTCAAAAAAATCTAAAAATTTTCCATTTTTAGAGATTTCACAAAAAAGAAGAAGGAAGTTTTAAAAAGGACATGATGGCTTTTATCACAAGATTGTCTTTGGAATAAATGTTTGGTTTAAGCTCAAGGAACAATTTCTGAGCTGCTGAGAAAACAAAACGAAATTCGAACAGAAGCAGCCATTTATTGCTTTCAATTTAGGAAGAAATTTTGTGGGTGATCTCATAGAATTGCCTTTTTCTGGTCTAGAGTTGCAGCGGCATATGTGGCGTCTATTCCAGAAAGTCCACCACCCTCTACATACGTATACAAATCCGGTGGAGGATTGATCGGCCCAGATGCAAATACCTGGTGGAGGACACGAAAATATGTGGAGAATATGAGTTCTTGTTGTAACTAGAAGACATTATTTACTAGTAAATCAGTAAAGGATTATAGATTCTGATTTTATGTTTTTTATCCTCATAATCGATAATACACCAACAGACCATATTAGCGACCTAGCTACATGGATATACACTTGGCTGTCTAAGAAAAGTCTAAAATTGAACATTGAAAATGACCAGCTCTCAGACTGCTAAATCAAAATGAAAAAAAAAAGTAGAAAATATGCCATTTGATACTTAAAATTCAAATAAAACGTTTTTAATATACTAGTGATTGATTGGTGGTGTGGAACAGAAACGTAACTTCCATTCTAAAATTAATTGAGTACCTTATAATTTTGAGTAAATCTTATATACACTGACAGCGTATACACTGTCACGGTTGGATGCATGACACATAAGTAAAATTTGAATTTTAAATTTAAATTCAAATGAGTTGTCACTCATCCAATAATAATGGTGTATACACTGTCAGTGTATAAAAGATTAATTCTATAATTTTTGGGTTTGAAAAATTCATGTTTAGCCATTAAGTTGCTGATATTCTTCTTTATTTTCTTAATGAAAAGGGAGGCTTGCTGTTCTAGTCCCGGAAGCACCACGAGTTAAGTCAATCTAAGGCATGAATATATGAAAAGATGACTGTCTGATTAAGCTAAAACCATGATTTAGCGAATTTAAGTATCAGTTTCACAATTGAAAGGAGAATAGTGCTAGAATTTAACTAGGCAATTGTGATTTACAGATTCAAAAATGCTGGAAAGAAATAACTTTAATATTTGAATTTCCCTTTCTAGAGGCATTAAATGGAGGAGCTAACCTGTTTATATATATATGTGTGTGTGTGTGAAGCAATAAAAATAGAGTAAATCTTATATACACTGACCGTGTATACACTATCACCATTTGATTCATGATATGTATGCAAAAGTTAAATTTCAAATTCAAATTTTGCATAGTTATCATTCATCCAATGCTGAGAGTATATATACTGGCAGTGTAGGAAAGATTAATTCATAAAAATAATAAACACGTTAAGCTAATATTGGGGCTCACATTATCTCCTCCTATTTTGTACTGGTGCTCTCCATTATCTGTCTCTTCTTCTGCTTCGTCTTTCCCCTGTTGATATTTTAATTAGCAGTCAATAAAATGGGGTAATTGAGAAAGACTATCAAAATTGTCATGGTGACCAGTGACCTGTATGTTCACTTGAGAACTATTCGTGAAATCTTGCAGCTAGATTGACTATACAAATCCTTAACAATTTGGCCAACATAAAATTTTAAAAAGTTGGAAACTACAACGCAATTCTAATCAATCAGCAAGTGCAGTAACCCAGGGTAAAGAAATGAACAATAGATCGAAAAGATAGAAATTAATGAAGAAAAGGTGTGTATAACAATGCAATTCTAATTAATCAGCAATTGCAGTAAAGAATAAATTACTGCTTCTGTGTATTGATATGTTAAATACCTTGTCATAAGTTTCCAGACTCGGTTGAACTGTAAAAACTCCAGGAAATTGTCCACGCCCTCGATAATCATAATCTTTTGCCTGGCCAGAATGAAGGGGTATATAAAAAATTAAGTTCTTTTGCAAATAGGAAGAGATAATCTCACTAGAAAGCAATGAAGGATGGTTAATTCGTTAAATTTAAAACAAGGTTTTAAATTACTGTTTTTATCTTTCAAACGACTTTTTAATCTCAAGCATATCACGTCATAAAAAATGTTACAACATCGTTTTCACAAAAATTTTTCTAAAACACGCTATCTAAACTGATTATTGCTACAATAAAAATTTTCCACATAATACACCAACAAATCTTTCGTGTAACTGGTGAGGATGGGTGCTTGGTACCTCAACGTGGCTAATTCCTTCACCAAAAAAATGTTCCCTATACAACAATGATTGGAATTAGTGAGAATCAACAATGGCAAGGATAAGTGAACGCATCTTTATGTTGCATACAAGAAAATTGTCAAGAACGTTAGCCAACACTGAAAAGCAGGAGTATTGATAGGAATTCAGGGCCACAGAAGCAAATAATGTAAGGTAGAATTGTGACTACTTCGAAGCCTTCAACAAGCTCTTTACATCTATCCTTTGATATCCACAAATTTTTTTTTTATTTGGTAAAATCCTTTTAAACCGAAGCCCAATTCTCTTGAACTCATAGCTTTTGAGAGAGATACTGTAGTACATCCCCTTTTGTGATGGTGATAATATCTCGTTGTCTTCTGGGTGATCCATAAACACCTTTATTTTACTGCTAGATATAATTTTACTGGGGCAGGTTTTTGCTTTAGTAGTATTTTTTTTTTTTTTTCATTAGTTGGTTAGTATGATTGATTGCATTTTGATCGGTATTTGGGGAAAGCAAAATTGATTCTAGCTATGGTTGACTTTGCCAACACTAAAAATTTCGAGGTTACCACACCCACCTATAAAGTTTCGCCAATAAAAGTTCATTTTTTTGCAATACAAGTTACAATAGGTCCTGTGCTCTATAAAACGATCTGTCACAAAAGTGTTTTTTTTTTTTTTTTTTTGGTTTTCTTTTCGAATGTAAAGATCTTTTTTTTTTTAAACAATTGCATTACTCAATGGAGATTGAGCAGAACTTTCCCAAATGAGTGACTATTGCTGGGTGAATTTGGATTTTGGACTAAGCATTAGTATCTAAACATGAAGCACTTTTTCCGATTAGCTCAAATTTTTATTCAACCAAGTTTTACATTTTCAGTGTTCTATAAGCAAAACGCTAACGCTAATGTAAGCTACACAAATCCTTGTTATCTTGCCTTTTATCTAATCATATTTGTGGAAACAGAGAAATTGGAAAAGAAGGAAATTCCCACAAGGCATCCCAGGTTTTTGGATTTTCGGTTCCTATTTCTGTAGTAGCATCAAATCAATTAATCACATTCAAAATTAAGCCAATTAAAGAAACGACAGGGTAGAAGTTCAAGTGACAAGCTTGAAGTGACTAGATGCCAGTAAGAAATTATAAGCAACTATAAGCAAATAAACGCAGGCCACAGGGTAAAGAAACGAACAAATAATAGATTAAAAAACATGGAATTTGCAAAGACAAGTTGTTTATAAGATATCCAGTTCTAATCAGAGTGGGAATGCGATATTAGTATTCATAAGTTAGATACCTTTTCGCCTGTAACATCCATATCTCCAACATTACAATGGAATCCAGCACCATGGCTGGGAACTTCTGATTTTATCGGCGGAGGTAATGTCATCTATTGTGGGACGAAAAATTACATGTGAATAGCAATTAAGCTCATATAAAAGTTGCAAACGTACATAGTCACTTGACGGCAAATCTCACCTCTGAAATTCAAGAACTCTAATTTATATTGTTATCCTCAGTTCTTAATAATCGTATAAAATGACACCACTTCTGGTGGAGAAAGAGATGGGTAACTTAATTTAGAGTTGTAATTATCCACGTATGATTTGATCTCTAAGATGTTGTAATAAGTATTATGAACTCGTTAATGAAAGACTTTAAAAATCGTGCTTCACCTCAACGGTCTCAAAATCCTCCCCAAGGTGGTGGTGGTGGCGGCGGCGGCGGCGGCGCCCTTCAGCCATGGGATTGATAGAAAAAAGCGATATACTAACAGCTACTGCAGCAACTCAATTATGGGGGTGATTGATATCCTGATTCTACCATGCAATTGGTAGTTTAGGTTGTAAATGGAAAGCCATATTTATAGGGGTTGATAAGTTTTATCTAATTATTTAATGAAATGAAGCTTGCTGCTAACTGTTTGTATAGTTCTTTTTTTTTTTTTACTGCTTCTTTTTCCTTTTTTTTTATTTTCTTCTTTTGGTCTTCTATTAATGCCAGTACCTTATTAATTATTATGCACAGTTCTTACTAGAGCTGGCAATTATACCCAAAACCCAACAACCCACCCAACCCACCCACTAATTTAAGAGGTTGGGTTGGGTAAGTTGGGTATTGGGTAAATTTTGGGTTGGGTAATAAAAATCCATATATATTTTGGGCGGTTTGGGTATTTGTGTTGGGCACCCATTACCCAACTTTTCCCTCTTTGTATGTTTTTTATGCAAGTATAACCCATCCTGTTGACACATGGAAAAAGACATTCTTGTGTACAAAAGTGTTACCACCACCCCCCCCCCCCCCAAAAAAACCCGGGGCAAAAAAAAAAAGTGTTAATTTTTTGAGTAAGTTCCCTGTATTTTGGTTGGACTTTTTGATGGTTTAGTAAAGGGGTTAGCAATTATCATTTAAACGTAATTTGACCTCTGCTATTGTAGAGCAAGAATCATCAGCCTATGACTAGTTGACCGAGAGTCGTCCCTATGGCAAATATATATCAATAAACATTTCTGAGACAAGTGTTGTAAAAATTCGTTTATGGAGCGATTAAATATTGAAGTAATAGCCAAATTTTTGTTAATCCTTTCACTAAAGATTTTTATGCTAAATGTTGAAATTATAAAGATATGGTTTATTGAAAGCTAATTATTTGACAAGAGATTCTTTGTTATAATTTTTTCCGTTACACTCGTTACATTATTTAGTTGATTGACATGTGTCCCATGCAATAATAAATAAGAATTTGAGTTTTAAAATATCTCTTAGTTTGGACCAAAGCTATACCCAGTTTGAAAATCCTTACTTGTATAAAAAATAGTGAGTTCATCCAAGTAGTTTAAATAGTTAGTATGTGTGTGTATTTGTGAAAGTATATTAGTGTGTATTGTAATGTGTTTGTATGTGTAAAAATAACATATTTCAAAATAGCTTAAGAAGTGAGTATATTTTGTGTCTATGAGTGTTTTAGTGTGTAAAATTATGTGTATCTATGTGAAAATGTGTTTATGTGTGTGAATTTTTTTTTTTTTGTATGTAAAAATGTATTTGAGAGAGTTTATGCATCAAAATATATTAATTAATATATTGGGTCATATTTGGGTCATGGGTTTGAGATAACCCAATATGACCCAACCCAAAATTAACCCACTCTAAAGTTGGGCGAGTTGGGTGTAACCCATTTAAATGAAAACCCAACATTAACCCGCCCAAAATCCGCCCAACCCGCCCAATTGCCAGGTATAGTTCTTACTAATTAGAGTGCCCTTGTAGAGGAAGTTATTACTTATGTCATTTGTGAGCAGACTTAAAAATTGGCCACAAGGAGGGAATCCAGCAACTCATGATGAGTTATATAATAGGTTAGAAGGAAAGGCTCATCCCGGATCAAAGAGGTTTTAGTTCTTAATCTTCTTAAAACCCAACTGCAGTTATTGTTACTTCTTTCATTCTACAAATTATTAGAGTAAAAAGCATCTACAAATTATAAAGGCCAAAACTAGGCTTCTTACAGATCGTATGATTCCAAATCATCTAATCATACCTACTCAGTTAGTGACCACAGGCGTCCGAATTCAAGTGTCGGCCAAGATAGCATGCTATATAAGCAATTAAATACTGACATCTATAGATAAGCCTGGCCTACATACTACAGCAATCATCAGGTTTCAGGATTATACTGCTGGAGGGGAGGAAGGTTCTTCTTTGATTCTGGTGTTCACTTTGCAGAGAAAAAGAAAGTTGTGTTCAATCAGTGCAAAACAAATTGGTTTTAAGGCATGATTTGATAGCACTTATGGGTTATTCAATTATCTTCCTTTTTGTCAAGATTTGTCATGTTATGTGTTACTCCAATTCCTACGCATGACCAATGATTTATTATGGTTCTGTCTAATGAGTGTTGAATGAACACTTGTTAAAATGTATTTCAGATGTTAGATTTTTAGAAAGATAAAATTAATTAAAAAAAGTGTATAAATGTAAAGAAGGCTAATAATTATTAATGTGTGTATGTATATGATATGGAATTTAGGTGTGTCAAAGAGCACTCATTAAGATGTATTTCAAATGTTAGATTTTTTAAAAAATAAAATTAATTAGAAAAAGTGTATAAATGTAAGAAATGATAGTAGTTGTTAATGTGTGTGTATATATGATAGATTAGATGGGATTTAGGTATGTTATTCATAATTTATTTGGTTAGGTCGATGTGTTTAAATTAAAGTCATGCACAGCTGTGGCTGCTAACATGTGGCATGAAATGCGTCTTTAAAACTTTAAATCGATGCTTCAACGATGTATTTAGGTAAGCCTGTATGTATAATGCCAGTAACATCATACTACTGCTATTTTATTGCTTGTGATATCTAATTGGGACAGCGTTCAAATATACGTAGTTTGTTTCCTATGGACCATAGCCAATTTGCGCAAAGAGGACCGATGGTCCTGACCAGTGACCAAGAAATAATGTGCATTGATGATACAAATTACAATTTCTTGGGTAGTAGTGTTTCATTTGATCATTGGTCCATCCAAACTCAATACTTTACAATACATTACTTTTTTTTTTTCTTGGGACGAACAGAACTTTTCAATTGCTTAAAATGTTCTTATAATGAGGGGTATTATTACTTTACCCCTTAATGTTAGATGCCATTATCAATTTTCTCTTTAACGTTATCTTTTAGTCACTTTACCCCCAAAACTAACGGTCAAATTTAACGAAATTTGTTAATTAAAGTGAAAAGATAAGTTTAGCCCTTAAAGTTATTATCGCTTTACCCCCATAAACTATGGTCTCATTATCAATTTACCCGTAAAATTATTTTTTAGACAATTTATCCCACCATTAAACCAATTTAGCAAGTTAAAAAACTTTAGAAAAAAGTACCCTCCTCTTTGTATAATAAAAATAATAAAAAATTTAGAGTGGCTCTTCTCCTCTTTAGTATCAAGAAAAAAAGTCAAAGTACTAATTTCTTTCTTCTTGGCAATCTTATTAATATTTTTTTTAAAAAAAGATGGTGAGGTGGAGGGAGAGAGAGATAGAGAGAGAGCTCAATTCTTTTTTTTTTTAAAAATACAAATAAGAAAGAATTAAATACTTTTATTATTTTAAAATTATTTTACTTTACTGTTTACCACCAGATTTCAATTCTAATCCCAATAATCTTAAATTAATGCAATAATGTTAGATTTTTCTTTATTTTTTTCTTTGCAAAATCTAATTTGCTATCTCCTTCTTTCCTATATCTTTTTCTTTTCCTAGTATTAATAAGTGTGAAAAATAAATTTGAAAAAATATTTTATTTTTATATTTTTGGATCTCTTAAAGTGAAAAAAAAGAAGAATAATCATTCAAACTTTTTTATTTTTAATTATATATAGAAGGGTAAATATGTTTAAAATTTTTTGACCATACTAGTTAGATTAACGATGAAATAAAATGCTTAGAAAATAATATTAGGAATTAAAGCAATTATATCACTATAATTTAAAGGAATAGAGTAATAATAACAATGTAGTAATGCTATAGAATAAAAGGATATTTTTGTCCAAAATTTCTTAACATGTTGAGTTGAATTACTTATGGGGGTGAAGTGACTAAAAGATAACGTTAGGGGGGAAATTGATAATATAATATAGTTTAAGGAGATAAAGTGATAATAACCCTTATAATAATGCTTTGCAGGTATTCTCATCTTGTCAACCGTGCATTCGGATTCTTTTTTTTGAAACCCCACTCCGTATTTATCTTGTACGAATATAAACATTGAGCCAAAAATATCTTTGCACCAATGATGAAACGCCACCAAAATTGAGGTTTAAAAATTAAAATTGGTTGTACATTCAAGTTCTACAGGCATGATTGGACTTGAGTAGGCCAGTCTGGTTAAAGTCTGTGGCTGCTAAGATTTGGCATGGGATGATTGTTTAAATCATACTACTTTAATGCTTGTGAAATCTATTGGGATAGGGTTCAAATATGGATATTTTGTTTTATCAAAAAAAAAAAAAAGGATATCTTGTTTCTTATGGACCATAGCCGATTTGCTGAAAGAGGACCCATGGTCCTGACCACTATACCACTGCAATTTTGCAGAGTCAGAACTTGGATTGTCGTATTATTTAGGCCTAAACTTCAAATTTTGTGCATATCATGTTGTAATCAAGTTCAGTTTAAAACCTTGACGAACAACAAATATTGTTCGACTCTATTTCAATTAATGGTTTATGAACCAGTCTTAGATGATCTCTTTGGAATCGATTTTGCTTTGAACACGGGTTTCCTTGATTCGATTTTGAGCTTTATTGTTGATGATCACCATTCATAAGAGTTTACTTGCTATGTTATCCAATAGGAATTCATTACTTGAGAAATAATACTCTATTTTTCTTTCCGAAATGATAACTCTGTATTAACATCAGTAAAACTTTGCAATATATATTGAACAAAGGCCAATTACAATACACAAAATGGGAACACTGTTAATTTATTTCTCATCAAGATAACTGCTCAAAAGTATAGACGCCGAACTTACAATTCATGTCACTATTATCTTTAAACTCTGAGGGAACATAGGAAACAACAACAAATTCAGATTATTATACATATCCTTCAACAAATTCAGATTGTAAGCTATGCACATTAATGATCAAATACTCCTACCCAAAAAACTGTGACAAGAATTACTTGAAAAGTCAATTGAATGTAGAAACGAAGTTTTATGGCTGGTTCACTGGGTTGACTGGTTGAACCGTCGGATCGGACCGGATTTAATAACTATGGTACATATCCTTTAATAACGTTGTCATCTTAATGTCTTTGTA